TCGACGCCTTCGGAAAGCAATGACTTTGTGGGATGGGCCACAAATTCGAACAGCCGGAGGGCACTTCATAACATCTGTCGGGAGGTGCACTGCTCGACTCAAAATCCACGGTGAAACCTGCATGGCGAAGTTGGTCGTTCTTCATGACTGTGCGAGGGAGGTTATTCTCGGTAGATTGACCTCTTGTGCGAATACGGCGCGGTCGTCGACCTAGAAGCGACAAGGTTGACGCTACCAAATTCTGTCCTAGCGTGGGAGATACCCAGAGCGGCGTCACCCGTGGTCAGAGCCCTCGCCGACCACGTAAACCTGTCGCCACGATCGCCCGTTTTTGCGCCCGTCGGGATCAATGAAGCTTCCTGCGTGGAAGCTCTGCTTAAAAGGCTACTCCACCGATTTTTTCATTGTCTCCGATTTGCTTGAAATTTTGCTAAACTAAGCAACAAACATCGCGAAAATAGTATCCCAAATATTAGGTCAAAATATTGTTTTTTCGCGAAGTTAATGAATTTACAGTTTTGATCCTCACCGTGTTTTTCAAGCTCGAAGTCTCTACTGGCAACAGTGAAAAAGTGACGTCAGTGGAAGGCAGGGGTTCACTCTTTGGGCTGTAGATTTTGTTTTAAACTGATTCGAAGCAGTTTCATGGTGTCAAATGAATGCTTGGGAAGCTCGCTGCAGTACCCGCGCTCCAGCACGGAGCAAATGATCGGCATATTCTATTTTTTGGCTGCTTGCTCGACTGGCAAGCCTGCCTGCCACTGACGTCACGGCCCTGAAAAGCGCGCGTATATTTGAATGTTGGTTTTTGCATCATTTTCATTTGCCGATTTCGCAATAACTATTATGAATTTCGCGATTCTAAATAGCATAGCGGAGAGAGTAAAGGCCGGGGAGTCAGAAAATATAGTTAGTTGAGGTAGCTAAAAAAATCGGTGGAGTTCCCCTTTAAAGGCAGCATCCAACTGGTTCTAGGAAGAGTAATCGGCGACACAAGAGCTGTAATGAAGCTTCAGGACGGGTACCATGGTCCTCATTACAAACTTTTGACAAGAGCCGCAACATTTATTTATTTATTTTATTTTATTTATTGATACTGTCGGCCCTCTACAAGGCCTTTACAGGAGTGGCAATACATGCAAGATGTAAAAGAACAATCATGCACTGACACTTCAAAAAAGTGATTCACCCAGAGGAATAAAAAAGCAAAATAAATACGTTAAAAACACAAAGTCATGGCACATTATCAAGCACTATACTCTTTATATTTTAATAAAATCACAGTCATTTGTCATAGTGACCACGGAATTCGGGATTTGGTTCCATTCTTTTATTGCTGCAGGAGAGAAACTAAATTTGGAACATTTTTTTTTTGCCAGATGGTTTCCTGGTGTTCATGCTATGACGATGTCTCGCACATTCACTGACGCGTACGTCCATGTAATTATTTTTGTCTATCTGAACTAGACCATGAATGGTCAAAAAATGAATTTCAGGCAGTCGCACTCTGTTCTTAATTCAAGAAATGAAAGTTCAGCAAGTCTACTGTGTCCCGTGGGGGAATGGTTACGATTATATTTATTAAAGATAAACCTAGAAGCAAGCCGCTGGACTGTATCAAGTTTGGACGAGTTAGCTACTGTATATGGATCCCACACTACTTTTGCATATTCAAGGACAGGTCTCACAAGTGTTTTCTAAGCTACTGTTTTTATTTCTGGCGAAGCGCTTGCAAGATTTCTTCTGAGGTACCATAATGCCTGGTTAGCTTTTCTGGACACGTTTTCCGTTTGTGTGTTCCATCGTAAATCCCTTGTAAAAGTCACTCCTAAGCACTCATTTTTGTCTACACGAGGCAGGTTGGTGTCATCAATAAAGTAATCACAATTTAGGAAATGTTTTTTTTTTCTTGTTATAAACATAACGACTGATTTTCGAGGGTTTAACTCCATTTGCCACTCGTCGTACACCCATGTTTGATTTTGAGGTGTTCATTTTGCAGTTTTAGTTGATCTTGTTCAGTTTCTATTTTATTGTACAAAATACAATCATCCGCAAACAGCTTAATTGGAACTGATATTCCACAGCGTAGGTCATCTATGAATATTAAAAATAAAAGCGGTCCTAACACACTACCTTGTGGTGTGCTACCTTTACAAGAGTGGTAATGCATACAAGATGGAAAAGAACAATCATGCACTGACACTTCAAAAAAGTGATTCACCCGGAGGAATAAAAAAGCAAAAGAAATACATTCAAAACACAAACTCACGGCACATTATCAAGCACTATATTCTTTATATGTTTAAAAAAATCTGACATTTGTCATAGTGACGACGGAATTCGGGAGTTGGTTCCATTCCTTTATTGCCGTAGGAAAGGAACTAAATTAAAAATAATCATTTTTGACAGATGGTTCCCTGGTGTGCATGCGATGACGATGTCTCGTACATTCACTGACGCGTACGTCCATGTAATTATTTTTGTCTATACTAACTAGACCATGAATGATCAAAAAAAAATTTCAGGCGGTCGCACTTTGTTCTTAATTTAAGAGAAGGAAGTTCAGCGAGTCTGCAGAGTCCGGGGGGGGGGGGGGGGGAAGGGTTACGATTATATTTATTAAAGATAAATCTAGAAGCAAACCACTGGACATTATCAAGTTTGGACGAGTTAGCTACCGTACATGGATCCCACACTACTTTTGCGTATTCAAGGACAGGTCTCACCAGTGGTTTGTAAGCTAATGTTTTTATTTCTGGCGAAGCGCTTGCAATATTTCTTCTGAAGTACCGTAGTGCCTGGTTAGCTTTTCTGGAAACTTTTTCCGTGTGGGTATTCCATCGTAAGTAGCTTGTAAAGGTCAATCCTAAACACTTATATTCCTCTGCACGAGGCAGGTTGGTGTCATCTATAAAGTAATCGCAATCTCCAAATATCCGTCTTTATCTCAGCACTTGACATCGGCCTCGAAACTTGACATCGGCCTGAAGCTTCGTGCTACAGAACGGCGACAGCTGCTTGAGCTTCTCGGCGAATTCAGCAAGTGCTTCGCCACGTCCTTAGGGGTTCGACAAACGACGCTAGCGAAGCACCGCATTGTCAAAAAATGACGTACTTCCTGTTCACCACTTGCCGTATCGAGATTATTCAACAGCAAGTTCAGGAAATACTCGACGACGACATCGTCCAACCCTTAAGCAGTCCTTGGGCCTCTCCAATTGCGCTCGTAAAGGACTTAATTTTAAGGTTCTGATTGAACCATCTTAAGCTGAACGCAGTGACCAAAAAAGGCGTGTATCCGCTTCCACATCGACAATACATTGGACCAGCTGCTCCACTCCCGATATTATTCGTCGATGGACCTATAGAGTGGCTATTGGCAGATTGAAGTCCACAAATGCGACCGCGAGAAAACTGCTTTGTCACACTCGACGGATTGTGCGAGTTCAAAGTGACGCCTTTCTGACTTTGTACAGCACTAGCCACCTTCTATCGTGTGACGGGCTCTGTGCTAGCAGATATAAAATGCCAGAGTTGTCTCGTCTACCTCGATGACGTCGCCATATATTTACGGTATTTTGACGAACGCTTGAGACGCCTTGGGGCCGTGCTTCACGCCATCGAAACCGCTGGACTGGCGCTCAAGCCGTCAAAGTGTCGTCTCACCTTCAGCGGACACAAGTTCTTGGGTCACGCTGTGAGTAACTTAGCTGCTCGCCCTGACCCAAATAACTAAGATGCGTGCCGTGGCAGATTTTTCGCCGCCGTCCGGCAAAAAGACCGTGCGAACATTTTTCGGACTTTGTGCATACTATCGGCGGCTTGTTCGAGATTTTGCAAAGCTGTCCCCGGCGCTGACACAACCCACGACCGAAAGACACCGTAAAGTTTGAGTGCGCCAGACAGGCAGGCTGTGAAGAGGGTTTGGGTCGCAGAAAGGTCTTTGTTGAGCGCCTCCAGCGGCAAAGCGATACACGTCTTCGGCGACAGCGTGTCCCAAAGGGTGCCATTCAGTGAGCAGGTCAGGATTCCAGTAGGCTGTGCACATTGCACTTGATAGCGCAGCAACGCTCGACGCCCATTTTTGTTTTTCGAAATCGAGCCGGAGGGGTACCGCTTGATCGTGAAACCGCAAACTTCGGAATGTAATGTGGAATCAGCCGCAGCACCAGGAACCCCAAGTCGCCCATGTTTTGAGCAGGAGACCTTTGCTGCGATCATACTGTGCGAAGACCACCTGGAAGACTTCCGTAGCGCAAAGGTCTTCCAGGTCGGGAAATATCTGCTTCGAACTTGTCTCGGCTCGTCATGGCTCAATATGTTCGTCAAATTGGAGCAAAGCTTTCTGATTAACGCCACAATGTCCGCTAACATGTTTTTAAAAAGGATACAAAAAAGATTATTGAGAAAGCTGCGTGTATATTTGAGTAATTTGCGTGCTCTTTACTTCACCAATCGCCTTTGACATCATTTCCGAGTGACACTAGATTTGGCCGCGTAGCTAGAAAGCACTTAGAGGATCATTGAATGTTCTGAAGTGCACTCGCTTGAAGTGACACTAAACGAGCTCGTCTGACGGAGGTATTACACATGTAACATGTGATGTAGCCCCACTGGAGGGTGCGAGAAAATTTTATTGTTGGTTTCGGCATAACCTTGTATTACCATTCTGGCTATATCAATGTTTAATTTTTAGAAATGAACAGCATTCCCGGAACAGTAAAGCCTGGGTATTTCGAAAATCTGTATAGTTTAGTACATCTGAAACAAAAAGAAAGAAAAACAAACAAACACCTTTAAGGATCCTATTGTTGTGTCATGAACTCTATGAAATGAAAGTGCGGAACAAATAGGGAAAAAGGCTGACATGTGCAGGTCTTTATCCCTATTAGCTCCCCCCTTTCACTTCTTACAGGTTTGTGCTATCATGCTCATTGAAGTGTTTCTGCCAATCCTGTTGCACTGAATTGGGCTGCAACATTCTGCTTGACCCGCAGGGTACCACCCAGATCCTTTTGGTCGTCTGCATTCGTCTGCTCTGGCTGTGCATTTGGGTGAGTGTTTCTCCGTGACTTTCTGAGACATCTGTATCGGAAAGCTGCAGTGCAGTGCACAGGATGCGTCTGCAACTGGTGTTTAAAGTCCTATACTGCCATTTTGTTAGAGCCTGAAAAGTAGTCCCAAATGTCAACATACGGCATCAGAAAAGCTGGAGTGTCATGATGTCGGATGTTGCGATCCTGGCGAGCTGGACGTAGATGTTCTAGAAAATCATTGCTACAGAAACTACTATTGTTGTCTGAAATACGAGAGCATTCGTCTAGGATGACATCAAGGACCACGTAAGCACGACAGCAAGAACGACATCAAGAACGACATCAAGGACGACATCAAGAACGACATCAAGAACGTCATCTGGGACGACATCTGGGACGACATCTTATACGATATGTAAGACGACATTAAGGACGACGTTAAGGACGACATTTATGACGACATCTAGATGAACATCAAGAACGACATCAAGAACGACATCAAGGACGACATCAAGGACGATATCGAGGACGACATCGAGGACGACATCGAGGACGACATCGAGGACAACATGGAGGACAACATCGAGGGCGACATCTAGAATGACATCGAGGACGACATCGAGGACGACATCGAGGACAACATGGAGGACAACATCGAGGGCGACATCTAGAATGACATCGAGGACGACATCGAGGACGACATCGAGGACAACATGGAGGACAACATCGAGGGCGACATCTAGAATGACATCGAGGACGACATCGAGGACGACATCGAGGACGACATCGATTACGACATCGATTACAACATCGAGCACGACATCAAGGACGACATTAAGGACGACATCTAGGACGACATCTGGGACACCATGTAGGACGACATATAGGACAACATCAACATGCGCATATCTACTGCGTATTATGAGGCCAGGAAGTATAAAAAATCGGGGGGGGGGGGGGGGGGGGGGCGGGGGGTTGCTAAAGAATGCTGTCGCATTAAAAACACGACTGTCGCTGTCGTCGCGACGTCCCAACTTCCGGCTGACAAACCTTCCGTGGCCTGTCAAGCAGCAGGAGGGTGACCTGCAGCAGAACAGGCGTAGCTGCCACATCCACCACCGCTACAGTGACGCCTCCAGGATCGTGGCTGGTGACATGACACTTGTATGATGTCATCGGGCAGAAATCGAGGGACCACTTTTTAGGGCGGAGTAAACACACTAGTCGAACACTTGTTTCTTGCACCATAGCTGTAAGGAAAAGGGGCAAAATGGGCCAGGTACTGACGCTGTTGCCCCGTGTCGGTGGTGTTACGCAGACGTTTATATTAGGAAAGTATGGAATGTGCCCTTAAAGGGGGCCTGTAATCACATTTAAGCGTATACCTTTTTCGCGGTTTCCACGTCTCTTGGGGTTCGGGCAAGCCAGCGGGCACGGAGGAAGTAACTAAATATCAGTGCATCATATTTTAACCGGACGACGCAGAAGCTTCCTCCACCGACGGGGGCGACCCGCGGTACCGAAAGCGCGCGAAATGTGACGTCTTTGGTCCTGGACTTACTACTGGTCAGAGCCGCTAAAAGCTTCTTTTTAGTCGAAATACAAAATATAAGTGGCGCGAAACGTTTCAATTGTTTATAAAAGTAGTTTTTGTTCAGTATTTTAGGTCAGAAAAGAAACAAATGCAGTTTATAAAGTACGGAAACAAGAAATGACCCGTCGACATACGCGCCACCAAGCGGTGGAAAAGGCGGCGCATACTAGAAAAGAGTAGGGGGATCAGGCGCCGACACGGAAAGGTCCCGAATGTACGCGGCGGCGCTGCGGTCGTTTACGGACTTGAGGATCCGACCGGCTCCGAGCGTTCCGAATGCCTTCAGCGAGTAGCTTTGTCTTGCGTTTTGGCCATTTCGCGGTACGGCAGCGCGAAGTGACTCCCATTCTGAACTTATCTTCACCCCGTGTTTGCTGTCGTTTGTGGACAATGAAGTGTCATGCCGAATTAGTGTTTAATCGCGCAGCAAATGCAATGAGAGCCGCTCTGGCTGTCCGCTGTATACAGCCTATCCAGAATACGCTTTAGTGGCGCCCTCTCGCGCCGTCAACACGGAGTGCGGCAGCCGTAAGCGCTCGCTGAGTTCACTATCCCTTCTCTAGTTCACGGCCGCTCAAGCAACCAGGGACGTCATGAGGGAGGTTATTTTTTGCTTGTTTTTGTAATTTTAATATGCCTATAACTTTTAAAATAAGGCGAAATTCGAGAAAGAAAAGGTTACATTAAGTTACTACGGTCAGTGCGCTCAGGTTTGATGGAAATTAAAAACTAGTAAAAAGTGCTTGCAGGGCCGCTTTAAGAAAAGGAGAATTCGGCATAAGGGCAAAGCGATAAAAGGCAGTCGAAAGTATGTGGAATTGTTCTAGCCACTCTTCTGGTTTCGAGTTTACACCTTTGTAACATTTTCGTTCTCTTATGGAATGGGGCTGTGGCATCTTGATAACGGTGGAGTCCAGATACCACATTTTTTATCATGTTGCTGTAGCCGAGGCTGTGGTAAAACAGGGAAAAGTTAGTAAAAGAAAAAGGGTACTGGAAAAGTAAAGTCTTATACTCGGCTACTGTATTTTCTCAGGCAATTTTCAACATGATCAAAATCCACCAGCTCGCCTGTGCACTTAGTTGATTTTTGCTAACATATTGTATGTAAATGTTTTTCGCAATAGAAATGGCTTTTTGCATCTTTCGGGGCATTTGTATGGGGATATTGTTTTTCTTAATTCTAAAGTTGTAAGAATTGTGGATACTACAGAGCGTAACTCCGATAAATGCCAAGTTTTCAAAAACATAACCCTGGAAAGATAGCCTCTGCATTTCACTAAAATCAATTTGAATAACCCGGAACTCTGCTTAAACGAAAATGCTGACATCCGGTCAAAATGTTGAGATAATCTGGTATTGTCTTGTGGGCAGCAGGGTTAGGGAATAGCCATAATGTCTGGAAAAACGATGAACTATCCGAGGTTTTCTGAGGAACTGAAATAGTGTGACTTTAAAGACTTACCCACATCTGTTCAGCTGATATAAAAAAAATGCCAAAATTTTCCATATAACCAGTTCAGGGGACCACGAATCTTTTACATTCGGTCTTGAGTGAAAGATAGCGGCGTGAACATTTTTTGTGCCCAAAGGTAGAGCGGGTCCTGCTAGTTTAGCATGTTTTTTGTTAGTGCAATACCACATTCATTGCCGTATTTACTCGAGTAATAGCCGCACTATCTGTGAACAAGATGTTTACGTCTACTTTCCCACAAAACACATATACAGCCAATCATTGCGTTGCACATAATTAGCATAGTGATTAGCAAGATGGAGAACACGATTCTCCATACAAATGCATTCTTCAGAGATGGTATCTTCGCACGAAGACGTCATCTTTGTTCTGCAAACAGCTGAACTCATGCTGTCGATTGCGGTGACTGGCAACCTGCGTGCTTCGCGGAAAAGCGAACCCTCGGGTTTTCTGCATAAACAGTGCGGCTATTACGCGAGTAAATATGGTATATTTCTGGTTTGATGCCTTCTTTTTTCCTCTTGGAATTGACCAGGGATAACCTGGGAGAGTTTTTGAAATTTCGAAGCATAAGAATAGTAGACCCCTTGTATTCATATCGACATAAACATCTTCCTAGGTTCGTTGGAGTGGCTCGCTGATTTTTGTAACAGGAAATATTTTCATTTTTAGTGCTACTTCTACGTGGTGGTGCTGTCCTTCTACAAGCAGCTGGCAAATGCTGCACACAACCCGGGCATTTGCATGGTGCCTGCGGATCAGCCTGTCTCCCGTGGCACCTATGTGCCACCTCGGAGCTACAGTTCCACTGCCCCGGAACCCCAGTGCTACTCGGACTCCAAGGTGGCCCTTGTGTGAAAAGCACAAACCCGTCTAGTTACTTTTAGGGCGCAGCTCTAAGGCGCCCGTTTTCGGGTTTCGCGGCGTCGGCGTCGACGTCGGCGGCGGAGTAACCGCGCTAAATCGAGCGGGAAAATTGACGTCACGTGACCTCAACACCAATTCAATTCCCCGCTAAATTTAGCGGGGAAGATGACGTGACATGACTTGGTGTCACACTGTCACGTCACCGAAGAACAAATTCAGTTTCTTCGCTAGATTCAATGGGAAAATTGACGTCACATGACCTCAACAGCATTTCCCCGCTAAATTTAGCGGGAAAATTGACGTCACTTAAGGAGGAGGAGAGAGGACGAGGAGTAAAGGAGGGGGAGAAGGAGAGCAAGAGATGGGTACGTAAGAGGAGGACCGGCATACCCTCTCCTCCATACACTCCCCTCCTCAAGAGCCGCGCTACAGAGATTTTAAAACGTCAGATTTTTTTGTTTGTTTTGTTTTACTGTTAAGTTATTGTAGCTGCCCCCCCCCCCCCCCCTAGTCAGTCTTCTGGGACTCTTATTGTTGCACCTTTTCTCGAGGATGAGAGATATTTCTTGTGTTCTGGTCATCATTACAATATTGTTCTGAATTTGTCTTGACTTTTGGAATTGGTCTTTTGCACCAGGGTGTAAAGGCTAGGCAGTTACTCAAAGGTCTTTCTTCATGTTTGCTGTTGTTCTGCGGCCTTGCGGTTCACTGCTTGGTGTTATTAGGCCAACATTTGGTCATAGATGTGATGTCGACACTTTTGCCTGGCGTCAGGTGTTGGGCTTTGCACTGCGTGAATAAACGAAATCTATTGTACGTGAGATGTTGAATTGTTGCGCCTAGCTTGGTACAAGTGCGGCCATCCTGGTGAACTGTTCTGCTGCTCCAGGATTGAAAAGACTTGGTCAACATTATTTGCTAAATCGGGACTGGTATGGCTAATATTCTCATGGCTTACACAAATAATGTAGAAAGCAACCTTACTTTTCTTAATGGAGTCGTTAAAGTCCATACAAAGCTGGTCATGTAAGAGTGGTTCCCATAGAATTGGCTTTAGATTGAATGTGCAAGTGATGCTAGCAAGCTGTACCTGCAAACCTGGATTAATGTACTTTTAAAAAGAGTGCTTGTAGTGGCTACATGAACTGTACTATGAGAGCAAAAGAGGCTAAGAGGTCCGGATACACACGGCCAAATTCGCACACCTAAGCCCGGTTCAGGATGCGCACCCTTTGAAATTAGGTTTTGTGAGTACACACAAAATAATATAGGCTTCCATGATATATGCCCAAGCCTTGTCTGGTGTCTACTATTATTATTCCTTGTGTTTACTAGAGGTCTCTTGTATTTCCTGGTTTCTTGTGAGCTATTATGTTAGCACCGTTGCCTTTAAAGCTGCTATGTATACAAAGAATGCCTTTTATGCCATGTCCAGTTTCTAGGCTACTGAATATTTTAGTCGCAAAAAGCGCTGGAGATAAAAGGCATTCTTGTTGAGTTGTAAAAAAAGATGTTTTGCTTGCTGCTTTGTCTGTGGTCGCTGTAAATACTCACTTCTCCAGGGTTGCCACCTTTTCAATTGATTCATTTCTCTAAGGTGCGTTATCAGGCGGAGCTTTGCCAACACAAAGATGGATGCAGAGTATTTTTATAGTGATGCTGCGTTCATTGTTTACATCTGAAGGCATTCTAGTCAAATTAGACCTGGCGGTAGATTCGGCTTTTTTTTTTTTTCTGAGCCACATGACTAAAGCGACATTGGCCACTTGTCTGGATTTTACATAGTCGTGCTTCGGTTTTTAGCTACCAAAATCGTCTCGGTAGGGTCATTTGATGCCGTTTTGCATTTTCGGGGAAAGTCGTGATGTATTACATACCTCATCAAAATAAATACAAGACTGGTGGTCACCCGTAGTTGTGATAGGAAGTTAATAACAATGTAGATATACCTTGTTGTCGTTGTGAGGGCCTATCTGATTGGGCACATCGAAGAAGACATTTCACAGAAGGATTCTTTACAATTGTCGTGTAGAAGCCAAGGTAAAAAAACCTTTCTGCCTTTCCAATCTGGTGAAGAAGGAAGACCAGCGAAGGTGTACTATGGCTTCCGTGGCACGATCGTCGTCCGTGGCGTTGGCCCGCCGGCGCCGGTCACATCGCCACTTCTGTTCTCAGGCACGTTCCAGGCGAGTGATCTGCTCTTTCGCAAGTGATTCGGAAGCACTCGTCGCAGTGGAACTCGAGGCGATAGGGGCTTCGCGGCGTTTGCGCAGCCATTCGCGCTGCTGCGCACGCCGCCGTTCCTTCCATTTCCTCTCTTCTTCCTCCGAACGAACGGTACGCGGCCGACCCATCCTGAGTCCAAAAGGCAACTGATAAGATCGCTGGCGCGACCTTGACGTCTCGGGACACAGGACACACACGATTGGTAGGTGAGACGGTGACGTTTTATTCTAGTATGGCCGCGCCAATCACGGGGCGTGCTCGATGGCACGTACACAGGTGGCCGCTGACGCGGACTCCGGGGAAAAAGGTTCTCTGGTTGCCGCCGTCGCTCATAGATGGCGGGAGCTGTCTAGAGTTTTGTGTCAACACGCCGCTTGTCCGTGGAAAAGTAATGGTCGGCCGCAAGTCGGCAAGCCGGTTGTCTGGTTGCCGCCGTCGCTCATAGATGGCGGGAGCTGTCTAGAGTTTTGTGTCGACACACCGCTTGTCCGCGGATACGATAGTGGGGGAATTAGCACTTAACAGCTTTTCTGTATAAAAAACGAACAAAAAACTTGTCATCTAAGCCCTGTGAACTATTACAACGTGCCTTCCTCCGCTCTGCAGTCTTTCAGTTGTCTGACTGCTTATTGCTCTGTACCTGCCAAATGAAATTCCTACCACAACTGTGCTTGTTGTGCAATGTGTGCACATTGGTGTTTGCATTCCCAATGTTTGTATGTAAGAACTGTTGCCGTTCCATTGTTTGTTACTCTTCACGACGCCCACGTGCGCTGCAGTTGCATTGTTAGTACCTTGCGCGTAGGTCGTCGCAATCGCGTCTCATTTACACCAGATGGGCTGTCACTTTCTACAGTTTATATTTCTGTGTTTAAATAAAGCTGTTTCGCAAAATCCGATGTTGCTTGTTTGTTTGGCACTGAGAGCAGGAACATGAAGTTTTTGTGGCTGGCTGGTTCCATCCAGTGGCGATGGATTGGAAGACCTATGAAATATGTGCTGCGATACTTTGTTCCACTGTGACTTGGTAAGAAACAAAGACTACGGCCGCCTTGAGCATGTCGGAGCGATGGCGGCCAAACACGTGGCATCCCTCTCCAAAGTTACACGGGCGAGGTCATAACCCAAACAGTTGAAGAAAGGAAATATGAACTCTCCTCTTACACAGACCCTCTTTTGTGTGTCCCAGAGGTCGTTTTCGTTCCACTAGAACAGAAGTCGTTAATTCACGTGCCGCATATTGTAACGAATGAAAGATGATGAGGCAACGAAGGAACAGAAACGAAGCGTTTAATTTGGCGAGCTTGTACCGAAAACAAAAATACAAACAGATAGCGTCGCAGACGTCCAAGGTCGGCGGAGTAGCACGATCGAGAGCAAGAATGAGACTGACACTGGCTCGCCTCACTGTATTGCTTGGAACGCGTCACCAACTGGTGTGTCTGCCGCGTCAAAAAAGTGGTCCCTCAATGTCCACCTGATGACGTCATACAAGTGTCATGCGGTGACCGGTCGCGATTTAGGCGGCGTCCCAGCAGCGGTGGTTATGTGTTCTGCAGCAGGTCGCTTTCCAATGTGACAGTCCACGGACGCTTCGGCAGCCAGAAGTTGGGACGCCGTCACGTCGGCGACACTTGCGTTCGCTCGCGCTTTTCGCCAGCATTACTACGTCCAACCGCCAGGATCACGACATCCTACAGCATGACACTCCGGCTTTTCTTGCAGCTTTTGTCGCCACTTCGGAGCCACTCTTGATGTATGGGCAGCATAGGACGCTAATCACACCAGTCGAAGACGCGCACCAGCTTGGCACCATAGCCACACGGAGCCTCTTATGTACACGCGTGGACTTCTGGAACAATCGGCGCAAACGTTTTGACGTGTAGCACATTCGGACCTCGAACAAGCATGGATTCTCGAATTTACCAGAACTCGACATTTTACGCGGATAACAAAAAGGTGTGCCTGCTCCCAATCTTCAAACCTCGGTCCTTCGCGTGGGAGCCAAGAACCATAGCCACTCGGCCATGGAGGCACTACCTCGAAGTCATAAGTGACATCACTCCCCCATTTAGCAGCGCATCGCCCCGATGCAACACAAAAAACAATCAAAAGAACGATAAGCTATAAAGTCCTCAGGAGCACGAAAAGTCCACAGCCCTAGAGAGCATAAAACGTCTTGAGTCAAACCACGTGAACCACCTTGGGTCGTAGAGAGCGTCGTGGTTATGTTTGCATTCCGTCGGGCACCACTTCGTAGTTAAGCTCCCCGTGGTGACGAAGTACCTTGTATGGTCGGAAGTACCGCTCCAACAGTTTCTCGCTGAGGCCGCGACAACGAATACGTGTCCACACCTGCACCCTGAATCCGGGCTGCAAGTGAACGTGCCGACGACGAAAGTTGTAGCGGCCAGCGTCGGCACGTTGCTTATCTCTTATCCGGAGTCTGGCGAGCTGGCGGACTGCTGCCCGTTGGGAGACCATCTGGATGTCATCACACGCATCGTCAGCTGGCTCGTAGGGCAGCATTGCGTCGAGCATAGTCTTCACTTTTCGGCCATCCATCAGCTGTAAGGGAGTTACTCCGCTGGTTTCTTGAAATGTCGTTTTATAAGCAAACGTGACTTACGGCAGCACCTTGTCCACGTCTTGTGCTCCACGTCGATGTACATTAAGATCATGTCGGCGATGGTCTTGAGTCTCTCCGTCAGCCGGTTAGTCTGTGGGTGGTAAGCCGTGATGCGACGATGCTTGATGTGACGGACACAAAGAATTTCTTGCGTCAGCTGCGCCATAAACGACAAACCGATATCTGTAATTAAAACCTTAGGAGCGCCGTGCCTAAGGACGATGGACTCTATGACGAATTATTTTACTTTCACAGCGGTTCTCGATAGAAGTGTTTTTGTCTTGGCGTACCGGGTGAGATAACCAGTTACCACGATTATACAACGGGTTCTTTCCGTCGATGGTGGGGAAATTTCAGGGATGGGCAAAATACATGCAAATATGTATTGAAATACAAATACAAAATACTTCGTCAAAAATGTATTTAATTACAAATCTAATTACATTTCCAAAAAAGCATTTAAATACAAGATACAAATACAATCAAATGCATTTGGTCTCCTCCAAATACTTTTCCAAATACATTCCTCAAAATTTGCGTCAGCGACTTCAGGGCAACTGCAACGGGTTTCTGGGTATCTTATTTTAATTTTATAATCGCACACTCGGGAGTTAGCGTGCGAGGCTCTATTAGCCCCGAGAGCGAACACAAGCGTCGCTGCGATCGCCGCGCCCTGATTGGGTGAGGTGTACCGTGACGTCAGGCGGAGGACTGCGCTCCGCGATCTCGCATCGGCTCGCTTCCGAGCACCGGTTTTCTGGTTTGGCGTTGTGTGCCGCAAGCTCTTCGAGGAGCTGGACTTCGTTTACCCGATGTACAAGACGTTGAGTTAGGCCGATATTGACGTGCTTCCGTATATTTTATATGCCTGCTTGTCCCTTTTACCTTTAAAATTGGGTTACAAATCCCGAAAGCTATCGGCGGAGACGATTCCGCTGATGAACCTTCCCGTCCGTCCACACGACACAAGACAATCTTGCGAGGGGTCGGTGGAGCGGTGGCGCAAGTGTTTCAGACGCTGGAATTTCGTTCCTTGCATGTTCATGATTTGGGACGATATTACATCCCGCTTTCAAGGCATTTGAAGTGGCATTGATATCGTGGGCCTTTGGGTGGTCGGCAAATTAGCTCGCGACCCCGACTCAGCGCTGCCACTCTGCATGCGCTGGTTCGCAGATGTATTAAAGGCCCTGCGTCTGATGATCTTTGAAGTGCTCGTGGAACAGGGTGGTTTTGCATAAATGTAGCTTCTTCGTGAATTAATTATATGGTTTATACACGTATGCAAGCATATTTCTTAGAAGATGCACAACTACTGGAAATTAGTTTGTATGGTAGCAGCAAAAACGGCTGAATTGCCCCCAGTTGCCTGTATGATATGTACTGAACTGCCCAAAATATGCACAGCAATAGTGCCGTATTTGGAATGTTTATACCTTTTCTTGACATTCTTTATTCCAGCCTTGGTTATTTGAAAAATACACCGTTTAGTCTGAATTGTCATTTCCAATTAAAAGAGACACTGCTGCAGGTCCCCAAAAGCTTCCTCAGCCTTCAAACTCCCTACAGCTGGAGTCTCTGACGACAGAGGAAAACAGGAGTAAAAGCAAGCATTCAAACGTCTGTCCAGTGGTAGATGCAGCACTAGTAGCAGAAAATGTGGAACCTGTGAAGGGCGACAGTCTGCGTGAGAAAAGCTTCTGATATTTTAGCTTCAGGACAATTAAATTTAAGTAAAATCTCTATTTTAGGGCTTAAGGGACTAATAACGAGCTAGATACCTTCGCTTACATTTGTTATACATTACTTGAGGATTGATATAAACAAGTCCACAGATACCACACGTGTAGTCTATTGAAATACTATCAGAATCCAGCAAAGGTCAAATGCGAGCAACGTATAAATAAATTTTCCTTGTTTTTTTTACTTTGTCCCTGCACTTGGGCTGTCTTACTTATAATTCTCTCCCTATCGCCCAGACTGTATTTAGCATGTTGCTCGAGCAGCATGCAGCTTTTCTGCTTCGGTGACCTTGTTTAAAAACAGAGATACAAAAAAATATAGAATACATAACCTGCCAATTCATTCAGACCACCAGCAGCATTTATTGTGTGAGATGTAGATCTATAGTGATGCTCCTGCAATTGTGGCCAAATTTCTTTATTTTCATACACCAGCTGCGATTCATGCGTTGCCTGCCCTGTCAACCATGCTTAAAATGTTGGTTGAAGTTTCGCCTGTAGCTACAGGCCATACCCCAATAAAGGCACATATAAAAATTTACACTTCCCACGAAAAACACGCCAAAAAAATAATTAAATAGAAACGAGCGCGCTGTCAGCTTGCGTCGTCACAGCCTCCACAGGGCGAGCGGGGCGAGTCGGGGAAAAATTCTCTCCTCACCGTGACGTCACCCCCGTTCGCCGTAAGGGGGCGCCACGCGAACTTCTCGGGGCTAATAGTCGGTTACAAGTCAAGAAGGTAGGAGAAGCTCCTCCCACAAGCGTGATGCGCCCGTTTCAAATCTCTCCGCAGTCGAAAGAAGAGTTCACTGGAAGCGCTCCTTGTTCCGCTTCAATGGATTCCAACTTGTCTCCGATCCCACTTTTTAAGAAAGCAACCTTTGTATTCATTGGAGGGGAAACCGAGCCCCTGAAAGCAGCCTTTGTATCCATCGGAGGGGGAAGCTAATCCCCGAAAGTCGTATTTGTTTCCATCGGAGGGGTGAAAACTCTAATCTCCCTCTCGTGGGTTCCACAATGCTAAGTCAAAGTCGAAAGATAAAGCAAATATGTACAAAAGGCAAGACCCTCCTCGCCCGTCGGCCGCAACGCCACAGAAACTGTGGGACGCTATTGGATGCGGATATGGCGGAGGGATATATGAGTCCCTTTGAGGGGCATTTGCCGCTACCTCCTTAACCTGTAACCGACTATAGTAACATACTAGAAATATAATCACAAAACAATGTAATCGGCTTGGACGTAATAGGTTAAAAAAAGTACAGAGCTGCAAGCAGCTTTTTTTTGTCGATTATACATTTTGGTATAGACCAACAAAGAACCGAGACGACCAAGGCGCGCTGCACTAGCTAGAGAAATTTTTTTTATTGCAACTCGCACCAGTTACGAATATCTGGACGACCCGTGCATTTAGATTGTTCCAGGCAAAAATATGGATGGAAATCAGGCTGGAAAGCATCACAAGCTGTCACAGGCACTTATTTATCCATACTGCCTGTGAACGTCGATTTCTTCACTATTCTTGC